GGTTCAAATATAAATCTGTAGAAACGAGCAGATTTTGAGATATTTCAAAAAATATGCTTCCAACCCTCAGTAGCACCCCTTGTCCCGGGTTGCTGGGGATGAAATATTTTTTTAAAATTGAATTAGTACCTAAGTTAACTGTGGTTCAAATATAAATCTGTAGAAACGAGCAGATTTCGAGATATTTCAAAATAATTCAAAAAATATGCTTCCAACCTCCAGTTGCACCCCTTGTTCCGGGTTGCTGGGGATGAAATATTTTTTTTAAAATTGAATTAGTACCTAAGTTAACTGTGGTTCAAATATAAATCTGTAGAAACGAGCAGATTTTGAGATATTTCAAAAAATATGCTCCCAACCCTCAGTAGCACCCCTTGTCCCGGGTTGCTGGGGATGAAATATTTTTTTAAAATTGAATTAGTACCTAAGTTAACTGTGGTTCAAATATAAATCTGTAGAAACGAGCAGATTTCGAGATATTTCAAAATAATTCAAAAAATATGCTTCCAACCTCCAGTTGCACCCCTTGCCCCGGGTTGCTGGGGATGAAATATTTTTTTTAAAATTGAATTAGTACCTAAGTTAACTGTGGTTCGAATATAAATCTGTAGAAACGAGCAGATTTTGAGATATTTCAAAAAATATGCTCCCAACCCTCAGTAGCACCCCTTGTCCCGGGTTGCTGGGGATGAAATATTTTTTTAAAATTTAATTAGTACCTAAGTTAATTGTGGTTCAAATATAAATCTGTAGAAACGAGCAGATTTCGAGATATTTCATAATAATTCAAAAAATATGCTTCCAACCTCCAGTTGCACCCCTTGTCCCGGGTTGCTGGGGATGGAATATTTTTTTAAAATTGAATAAGTACCTAAGTTAACTGTGGTTCAAATATAAATCTGTAGAAACGAGCAGATTTTGAGATATTTCAAAAAATATGCTTCCAACCCTCAGTAGCACCCCTTGTCCCGGGTTGCTGGGGATGAAATATTTTTTTAAAATTGAATTAGTACCTAAGTTAACTGTGGTTCAAATATAAATCTGTAGAAACGAGCAGATTTCGAGATATTTCAAAATAATTCAAAAAATATGCTTCCAACCTCCAGTTGCACCCCTTGTGCCGGGTTGCTGGGGATGAAATATTTTTTTAAAATTGAATTAGTACCTAAGTTAACTGTGGTTCAAATATAAATCTGTAGAAACGAGCAGATTTCGAGATATTTCAAAAAACAAAATAACATTAAAAAAAATCCCTCTCCTATACCCCTTGATATAATTTCCCTAAGAATATGGGTTGTTTTTCGCTGATATGTAACTGTAGTAGAATTTTATATAACTAAGTCAAAGTGAGGTAAAATACAATTTCTGTCGATTAAAATATGACCCGACGCCACTGGGCGTTCGGGTATCTTCGGAAAATTTGGCTGCTATCTTTTGCCACCAACTTCACACCGGTAATTTTTGCTCCTGTACCGATCGCAGTATTTGCTATAAATTCACAATCAAAACACAACTAATAATGGCATAACAGGTATGAACCAAATATAAACAGTAAGTAAACAATATATTGGTGTTTCTAGCCACTTTTTCGTTTGAAAATGCACCTCACTCTAGCAATAAACAATGAAAACAATACACAGAAACATATAACCTCAATAGCAAAATAGCACCATTGGCGACGTTGCCGTTATTTCCAACTTCATGGCTTGTAAGTGTAGAGGGCTGTGGTTGCCCTCAATTTGGCTGTCGCCGTTTGGCCACCATTTTGATTTGTGATTTGATAGATAATAATTATAATTTTATTCGCACGTGTCGTGTGATTATGTGCTGTGTTTTACCAAAAAATACGGATAATTGCAGATGCATAAAAGGCCGTGTCTGCTACCAAAATAAATGTATGTATAGGTAGGCGATCCGATCATGGAGTCAGGGTTGAAAAAATTTAAATTACTTTTAGCTGAATGGGGACTAGAAGATTTTACACAAAATTTTGATGGTAAGTAAAAAATATTCTTTCAAATTATTAGTTAAATGGACTCTTTATGTTGTTTGTTAGTTGTTGTCACGCTCATACTTCATAGGTAGTCGAAGGCGCTGACGAACTAGTTTTCCAATTAAAAAGCAAAACATACCCTCGCCTCGAACATACTACCTTTTTACAATATTCATTCAAAGGCCAATCGTTATAGGCTCGGTTATAGGTAAAAGCCAAATTTTTCAAGTGTCCTTAAAATAAAATGTTTTTGGACATTTTTAATTTAAGAGGACTGCGTGAAAAATACAATATTTCACCAGCAACGGTTTTACGCAGTTTGGCAACACGAACACCGTTAGTAAAATAATAAATAATTTAAAATGCACAGATGATGGCAAGATGGCAATCTCCAACCTTTTTTGCCAGGAGCCATAATATATCATACCTACCTTCTTGTTTTTACGTATTTTTTCCAAATAGAACTTGCCCAAATATGTTTAATTTTTGTACTTAGATGCGGAAATCACTGATGAAAGTTTTGATTTGCTTGATGACGAAACCATTAATGCACTGCTTCCAAAATTTGGTCCAAAACTAATTTTCAAACAGAAGTATAGAAAATATCTGAAAGAATCAAGCAAAGTATCTACATCATCAGATTCTCAGTTTGATGTGAGTATAAATTCTAATATTTTTATCAATAATTTTTGGAATACCTAATTAGTAAGTGTATTATTCAACGAGCATGTATAATGATAGCTATAACTCTCTACGATAAAGTTTTCAACGCGAGCTGAGGTGGAGTCTCGTAATTCATCTGAGTGAGTAGGTAATAGCTATTACAAGCGAGTGGAATACTATACTTTTTCTACGACTTGCTTTCTATAAAGCGAATGTGAAAGTTTGCTTATAATAAAGTCACTAGGCATGGGTGATTTGATTAAAAATTGAACCCGTGAGTAATAAAATATTATTTACTTGTAACTAAAGTTTTTTTTTTTTAGAGAGACAGTGACAATTTAAAATTGTAGAATAAAGTATAAATTACATAATAGTGATACATATTACCAAATTACAATTTTAAATTACTGTCTCTCTGAAAAAATAGACATTAGTTTTTATAATCTATTCAAAACTGGTGAATAATATATTTTTTCTACAAACGTCACTAAAAGTGTCATTTTTAACGGATGCTGTCAGTGTCTAAAATGCCATTTTATGAAACTGGTGTTAAAAGTGATTACTCTTAGCACTAGTGCTAAAAGTAATCACTTTTAGCACTGATCAGAAAATATAAAAACAGGAAATTTTAAATCAAAATAAAATATTTATTTAATTAAACGTACAATTAGCGAAACTATTAGAATAAGAAACTCCATGGCCAATCTCGTTGGTAGCAGTTACTGAATTTATTTTGGTAAAACTTGTACCAGGAGGGCAAAGAGCAATGTTATTCTCCGAAGTTTTGGGCAGAATTTGATCCGCAATGTTCTTTTTATTTTGTAGCGAGTCTTCTATATACCCCTCCGCTACTGTAGTAGACTTCCACCGTGTCTCTTGATTATAGTAAGATTAGCACCAGAGTCCGCCAACAAACTCGCTGAGGAACGTCGGAAACAATGTCCAGTATAAAGATGGGGATCAGGCAAATTCAGAAATTTAGCGATTTCGGCAGGGATCTTACCAAATGTGTTGATTCCAACTGGAGTCTTGGCACATTTATTATTTGCTGTATTTTATAAAAAATCTTGAGTGATTGATATCCGCTGGTCGAAGGGATAGGTACTTCTTATAGTAGTTTATATACAATGTACCACTAATAACGTAATTTCGTTGCACATTAGTTTTAGTGTCTGGTATATGCACAACTAATGAAGTTCCCAAATCTTCAATGTTATTTAATGTCAAATTGCAAAGTTCTTCTCGACGGCAAGCTCCAAATACACCGAAAATTGCGGCAACTTTTCGCATAAGATGTATTTCATCCGGGACTTCTGCGAGAAATTTATCGATTTGTTCACTCCGCAATACTTTTGACTTTTTCGGTCGATATCCTTCACCCTTTCGCTTTAAAAAAGCTACAAGCTTGTAAAATCTGCTTATGTCCTGATTATTTATGTTCATCATCGCCTTTATCATTGAGTTAATTTGACCAAAGCGTAGAAGATTTCCATATTTTTGATTTTTCTTCAAAGTATGCAAGGAGCACTTTTTCACTGGCCTCCTTGCCACTTACTTTTTTTTCATCACACCATTTCAAGAAACGATCGTATGAAAACTCGTACTGTTGCTTTGACTTGCTAGGCAATAATTCAAAAGTAGCTTTATTGGCAGCTTCTTCAATTTCCGCCGGAGAAATTCATTGTCTTGATCACTTTCCATCGCCCAGAAAATAAACCACAATGAAACTGGATGAAACCACGCAAAAACCAAAAATTGTGCAAAAACCTTAAGCAAAAATTCGTGATTATTTGACGTTACTAATCAACAATGACAAACAGAGATGACAAATAAAAATAAACAAATTCGTTTTTTTTTCTTGCCAGCAACCTATTTCATAAATAAATTAGATGAAAGATTTGAAATGAGGATTGCAAGGATGCGTTAATTGGACTTTTAAAGAGTGTTTGTAGAAAAAATAGTGTATGATATTCGTGCTAAAAGTGATTTTATTTTGTTCAAAGGGATTCCCTTTTCACAAAATAAAATGTCACTTTTAGCACTTATATCATAAATAACTATTTTGAATAAGTAATAGGCTTTTTGTCTACTAAAACTTTTGGAAGTGGACCGTAAATTATCTTTTGATTTAAGTTGAAAGCAAATGGTTGTTAATTCCTTTTCAATACCTAATTAAATTGACATGTTCACCGCTTTCCAGAACGGCCCATTTCCAAAACTTCTAGTAGATAAAAAGTTGTAGGTTGCATTAAAATGAAACCACTGACAAAGTTTCAGACGAATGTTAATTACAAAAAAGCTGCGATGAACATACTGTAGACTATCTGACTCATAATCATTTCAGGAAAAAGTGTCCAAAGCTACAACTGAGTCATATGATAGTGGCTCCATATATACATATATTCCAGATGATGAATTAACACAACTTATAAACATTCCTCCAGTCACTCCTCAAACCACTTCCACCCCAAATACTTCAGTTGATCAGCTCTTGCCCTCAGCTGTAATCGAGGCTGTAATTATCGAGCAAGAAGATATTGCTCAGGATTTTGATATTAGATCTGGAACTTCAGCTGAACCCTCGGCAAGACCACCCCAATCAAAGAAACCAAAACTTAGCAGTATTTTCCCACTGGGAAGATGTTTGTATTTGAAATCAATAGAAAATCATTTTTGCCATTCAACAACTGAAGAAGAGTTATAGCATGTTTTTAAAAACTGTGCGTTGAGGGCTATGAGCTATAATAGGTATAAAATATAGGGTGTTTCATACAAAAATACATGCAAACAGATTGGAAGATATACCTTCTAGCCAAAATATAGTGAAACGCCCTACATACATACACCCTTATTTTATTGGAGACATAATAAGCCAAGACAACATTTAATTTTCCTGCCTCTATCTATATAGTATCTAAGCTAGACTTTTATAATGGAGTATTTCATTATTTCACTCCACAAAATTTAGCAACATTCTCTTTTAGGGTTTAGAAGCAATTCTTAACAAGTATCCTGATGGGAAGGTGGTTTTATTACAAAAATCGAAGCTAACAAATCAATTGAGGACAAAATTGACAAAAGTTGTAATAACCGAACTTTTCGGAAATCACGCGTTTAATGAGTAAGTACTTGCATATTATGATTAAAAAAAAATTGTATTTTAACATGTTATTATAAAGGATGTACTTTTTTGTGTGTAAAGCCACAGAATATACATATAGGTACCAAAGTAAAGCTGATATTTTCGATAGTAGTTGTGCGTTGTGCTAACCAGGGTCAATACATAATGTACCTACTATTTTGTCAGACTTGAAACAGAAAATGTTACATTATTTAAAAAAAAATACAAAAAAAAACAACCGAACGTATTTTTCTATTTTAGTATCAAAGCTGATTTGCTACAAAGAGCAGCATTAGAGATAGAGGAGTTATTTCCCAATGAAACAAGCGACACGTATTTTATTCCACCGGTGTGAAGTTGGTGGCAAAAGATAGTAGCCAAATTTTCCGAAGATACCCGAACGCCCAGTGGCGTCGGGTCATATTTTAATCGACAGAAATTGTATTTTACCTCACTTTGACTTAGTTATATAAAATTCTACTACAGTTACATATCAGCGAAAAACAACCCATATTCTTAGGGAAATTATATCAAGGGGTATAGGAGAGGGATTTTTTTTAATGTTATTTTGTTTTTGAAATATCTCGAAATCTGCTCGTTTCTACAGATTTATATTTGAACCACAGTTAACTTAGGTACTAATTCAATTTTAAAAAAATATTTCATCCCCAGCAACCCGGCACAAGGGGTGCAACTGGAGGTTGGAAGCATATTTTTTGAATTATTTTGAAATATCTCGAAATCTGCTCGTTTCTACAGATTTATATTTGAACCACAGTTAACTTAGGTACTAATTCAATTTTAAAAAAATATTTCATCCCCAGCAACCCGGGACAAGGGGTGCTACTGAGGGTTGGAAGCATATTTTTTGAAATATCTCAAAATCTGCTCGTTTCTACAGATTTATATTTGAACCACAGTTAACTTAGGTACTTATTCAATTTTAAAAAAATATTTCATCCCCAGCAACCCGGGACAAGGGGTGCAACTGGAGGTTGGAAGCATATTTTTTGAATTATTATGAAATATCTCGAAATCTGCTCGTTTCTACAGATTTATATTTGAACCACAATTAACTTAGGTACTAATTAAATTTTAAAAAAATATTTCATCCCCAGCAACCCGGGACAAGGGGTGCTACTGAGGGTTGGGAGCATATTTTTTGAAATATCTCAAAATCTGCTCGTTTCTACAGATTTATATTTGAACCACAGTTAACTTAGGTACTATTTCAATTTCAAAAAAAATATTTCATCCCCAGCAACCCGGGGCAAGGGGTGCAACTGGAGGTTGGAAGCATATTTTTTGAATTATTTTGAAATATCTCGAAATCTGCTCGTTTCTACAGATTTATATTTGAACCACAGTTAACTTAGGTACTAATTCAATTTAAAAAAAAATATTTCATCCCCAGCAACCCGGGACAAGGGGTGCTACTGAGGGTTGGGAGCATATTTTTTGAAATATCTCAAAATCTGCTCGTTTCTACAGATTTATATTTGAACCACAGTTAACTTAGGTACTAATTCAATTTTAAAAAAATATTTCATCCCCAGCAACCCGGAACAAGGGTGCAACTGGAGGTTGGAAGCATATTTTTTGAATTATTTTGAAATATCTCGAAATCTGCTCGTTTCTACAGATTTATATTTGAACACAGTTAACTTAGGTACTAATTCAATTTTAAAAAAATATTTCATCCCCCAGCAACCCGGGACAAGGGGTGCAACTGAGGGTTGGAAGCATATTTTTTTGAAATATCTCAAAATCTGCTCGTTTCTACAGATTTATATTTGAACCACAGTTAACTTAGGTACTAATTCAATTTTAAAAAAATATTTCATCCCCAGCAACCCGGGGCAAGGGGTGGCAACTGGAGGTTGGAAGCATATTTTTTGAATTATTATGAAATATCTCGAAATCTGCTCGTTTCTACAGATTTATATTTGAACCACAGTTAACTTAGGTACTAATTCAATTTTAAAAAAATATTTCATCCCCAGCAACCCGGGACAAGGGGTGTTACTGAGGGTTGGAAGCATATTTTTTGAAATATCTCAAAATCTGCTCGTTTCTACAGATTTATATTCGAACCACAGTTAACTTAGGTACTTATTCAATTTTAAAAAAATATTTCATCCCCAGCAACCCGGGACAAGGGGTGCAACTGGAGGCTGGAAGCATATTTTTTGAATTATTTTGAAATATCTCGAAATCTGCTCATTTCTACAAATTTATATTTGAACCACAGTTAACTTAGGTACATACTAATTCAATTTTAAAAAAATATTTCATCCCCAGCAACCCGGGGCAAGGGGTGCAACTGGAGGTTGGAAGCATATTTTTTGAATTATTTTGAAATATCTCGAAATCTGCTCGTTTCTACCGATTTATATTTGAACCACAGTTAACTTAGGTACTAATTCAATTTTAAAAAAATATTTCATCCCCAGCAACCCGGGACAAGGGGTGCTACTGAGGGTTGGAAGCATATTTTTTGAAATATCTCAAAATCTGCTCGTTTCTACAGATTTATATTTGAACCACAGTTAACTTAGGTACTTATTCAATTTTAAAAAAATATTTCATCCCCAGCAACCCGGGACAAGGGGTGCTACTGAGGGTTGGGAGCATATTTTTTGAAATATCTCAAAATCTGCTCGTTTCTACAGATTTATATTTGAACCACAGTTAACTTAGGTACTAATTCAATTTTAAAAAAATATTTCATCCCCAGCAACCCGGGGCAAGGGGTGCAACTGGAGGTTGGAAGCATATTTTTTGAATTATTTTGAAATATCTCGAAATCTGCTCGTTTCTACAGATTTATATTTGAACCACAGTTAACTTAGGTACTAATTCAATTTTAAAAAAATATTTCATCCCCAGCAACCCGGGGCAAGGGGTGCAACTGGAGGTTGGAAGCATATTTTTTGAATTATTTTGAAATATCTCGAAATCTGCTCGTTTCTACAGATTTATATTTGAACCACAGTTAACTTAGGTACTAATTCAATTTTAAAAAAATATTTCATCCCCAGCAACCCGGGACAAGGGGTGCTACTGAGGGTTGGAAGCATATTTTTTGAAATATCTCAAAATCTGCTCGTTTCTACAGATTTATATTTGAACCACAGTTAACTTAGGTACTAATTCAATTTTAAAAAAATATTTCATCCCCAGCAACCCGGGGCAAGGGGTGCAACTGGAGGTTGGAAGCATATTTTTTGAATTATTTTGAAATATCTCGAAATCTGCTCGTTTCTACAGATTTATATTTGAACCACAGTTAACTTAGGTACTAATTCAATTTTAAAAAAATATTTCATCCCCAGCAACCCGGGGCAAGGGGTGCAACTGGAGGTTGGAAGCATATTTTTTGAATTATTTTGAAATATCTCGAAATCTGCTCGTTTCTACAGATTTATATTTGAACCACAGTTAACTTAGGTACTAATTCAATTTTAAAAAAATATTTCATCCCCAGCAACCCGGGACAAGGGGTGCTACTGAGGGTTGGAAGCATATTTTTTGAAATATCTCAAAATCTGCTCGTTTCTACAGATTTATATTTGAACCACAGTTAACTTAGGTACTAATTCAATTTTAAAAAAATATTTCATCCCCAGCAACCCGGGGCAAGGGGTGCAACTGGAGGTTGGAAGCATATTTTTTGAATTATTATGAAATATCTCGAAATCTGCTCGTTTCTACAGATTTATATTTGAACCACAATTAACTTAGGTACTAATTAAATTTTAAAAAAATATTTCATCCCCAGCAACCCGGGACAAGGGGTGCTACTGAGGGTTGGGAGCATATTTTTTGAAATATCTCAAAATCTGCTCGTTTCTACAGATTTATATTTGAACCACAGTTAACTTAGGTACTAATTCAATTTTAAAAAAATATTTCATCCCCAGCAACCCGGGGCAAGGGGTGCAACTGGAGGTTGGAAGCATATTTTTTGAATTATTTTGAAATATCTCGAAATCTGCTCGTTTCTACAGATTTATACTTGAACCACAGTTAACTTAGGTACTAATTCAATTTTAAAAAAATATTTCATCCCCAGCAACCCGGGGCAAGGGGTGCAACTGGAGGTTGGAAGCATATTTTTTGAATTATTTTGAAATATCTCGAAATCTGCTCGTTTCTACAGATTTATATTTGAACCACAGTTAACTTAGGTACTAATTCAATTTTAAAAAAATATTTCATCCCCAGCAACCCGGGACAAGGGGTGCTACTGAGGGTTGGGAGCATATTTTTTGAAATATCTCAAAATCTGCTCGTTTCTACAGATTTATATTTGAACCACAGTTAACTTAGGTACTAATTCAATTTTAAAAAAATATTTCATCCCCAGCAACCCGGGGCAAGGGGTGCAACTGGAGGTTGGAAGCATATTTTTTGAATTATTTTGAAATATCTCGAAATCTGCTCGTTTCTACAGATTTATATTTGAACCACAGTTAACTTAGGTACTAATTCAATTTTAAAAAAATATTTCATCCCCAGCAACCCGGGGCAAGGGGTGCAACTGGAGGTTGGAAGCATATTTTTTGAATTATTTTGAAATATCTCGAAATCTGCTCGTTTCTACAGATTTATATTTGAACCACAGTTAACTTAGGTACTAATTCAATTTTAAAAAAATATTTCATCCCCAGCAACCCGGGACAAGGGGTGCTACTGAGGGTTGGGAGCATATTTTTTGAAATATCTCAAAATCTGCTCGTTTCTACAGATTTATATTTGAACCACAGTTGACCTAGGTGATGCTTCAATTTTAAAAAAATATTTCATCCCCAGCAACCCGGGACAAGGGGTTCAACTAGGGGTTGGAAGCATATTTTTCCAATTTTTTCAAGTTTCTCGAAATCTGCTCGTTTCTACAGATTTATATTTGAACTACAGTTGACCTAGGTGATGCTTCAATTTTAAAAAAATATTTCATCCCCAGCAACCCGGGACAAAGGGTGCAACTGGGGGGTGGGAGCATATTTTTTCAAATATCTCGAAATCTGCTCGTTTCAACAGATTTATGTTTAAACCATTGAAAGCTTATTTGTTGAATAAATTTTAGAAAAAATATTTCCAGCAACTCGGAATTTTGATAGGGGTTCATATTTTTTTCAATTTATAAGAAGATTTTGATTTTGAAAGCCTTATTAAGATAATAAAACTAGTTTTGGTGTAAGTAACCAAATATATACTTCTTTATTGTAAAATGGAACTCAATAATAGTAACGATTACCTAAAACATAAATTTTGAACTGAAACTTACATTAACAACGTAATTGAAATTCAACAAACCTTGGTTAAAAGCTACCTTTGGTTACATTTTTTTTTTAAATTTAAATTAATTTTTAAAAATTTATAAGATTTTTCCAACGCTTAAGATTTTTTTTAATCAACAGATAAATACTAGGTATAGACGCTTTTTGCAATCAACCTGGTTTATTTATTAGTGAAATAGTTATATAATAATGATGAAATACTTTAACAAAAATAATTTTCATTCTAACACAAAAAAAAAACAATACAAAAAAAACAATACAAAAAAAAACAATACAAAAAAAAACATCAACTATCCTTGCGTTCGGTATTTTGCTCAAAGAGCAGAGCGTGCTGAGCGGAGCCGTAATCACGTGACCAGTGAGCGTACAGAGCAGTTGAGCGCTGTATAAAAGTGCCAGAAATTTTAATAAACGAACGCGAATGAGGATGCACCGAGTACACTTTTTAAATAAACGAACGGTAAAGTAAAGCTCGGAGAACTCGGACCAAAATAACGAACGCAGGGTATGTGCATTTACAATCTAACCTACTCAATGAATATGAATAAATTCTAACGAGTTTAAGTTAGAAGGTTCGATACTCGGTTAGATAGAAATAAAAAAAAACTTGGAAAGTTGGTTCAGGACAAAATTGAACTGGTACAATTAAAAAAAATATGTTGATTGTCCGTTTTTTTTTTTTTTAATCAATTGGTGGTCTCAAGAAAGGGTGTTCTAATGAAATCAATGAAATCGTCAGTTTTATAAATAATGGTGTATAGTCGTCGCCACAAATATTCGAGATTCCTACAAAAAGTGATTTCTATGCCCGCGATGCCCGGATAAACATAAACCATAGCAAAAACTCTACAGATAAGGGTTGAGAATAAATTTATTCCAAGAGCAATTCATTTTGCGTATAGTATTATTGTATTATTCTGGATTCGATTGGGTAATTAATTTCGTGCATTAAATATTTGAAAGATCTTTTGAGAAAATTGGAAAAAACTCTTTTATTATATAATCAAAGTCTATAGATATAATTCTATAATTATTTACAACAATTTAAACCGAATAATTCACAAACCAATATAATCTTGTTCTCAAGCGGTTCCTGACACGTGCTCCCTGTCTAAATGCAGGCCGGCTGATAATATAATAGATATTTATTTAATTAGGAGTATAAGTAGGTAATTTATGCGACGCGCATGGAAGTGGCGAATCAAATCCATGCAAGTCATATGAAGAATACTTATACTCCGAATGAAATACAATATTTTACTTTCAAACAATCTTTATTCCGAATAGAGCAGAATTTTCAATTTAAATTATGACATTCATATTTGGAAGGATCACCTTCATAAGCATCTATGGTGTATTTTTGCTCAAGATGGGTTTCCACATTAAAAACTTTGAAACATAAACAATACCGCTTGGCCCTGATTGGTTGCAAAATGAGGTGTCCCTGGCAGGTTGACATCAGTTTTACTGGTTGTACATATGCATGTCGTGCAAATGGTATCTTGCGACCAATAAGCGGCATTATTTATGTTTCGAAGTTGACAATGTCAAAATCTATCTTGGGAAAAAATAAACTATATACCTGTATGTACAGGTAAACTACCTCAAATCGCTATGGAAGAACATGTGTAACGGCGTATAAATGTTATACTCCGGCGGAGTACAACACTTATACGCCGCTCAAGCTGAAAGTCATTGAAGTGACTCATATACGTTGTCAAAATGATTACAAAAATTACCGTTATAGGACGTTTGAAAATAAACATACTTTTTTGTGCGAATCTCGAATATCTCTGGCAGATACTAAACATTCCTAATATTTTCTGCAAATGTCACACATATTATTTTTTAAAAAACTATATTTATTAACTTGCAAACACTTTTTATGAATAAATCGGTAACAAAACCAGCATTGATCCGAATCATTAGGTTCTGTGGTCCTTGTACAGAACAGGCATATATTTTTTACGTCCAATGATCTTTTAATAATCATTTCTTTCAGAAATAATCTGAATTTTGCTAAGTCCACGTCTTTATCTAATAATTCACCTTTTATATATTTTTCAAAAAAATATAGAATAAGCGGCCCACAGTTATAACCATCTTTTTGAATAATATGTTTTTCCTGAACTAATTGGAGATCGCTTGCATTTAAAGTTGTTTTATTCAAGTTATTATAAAAGTTGATGAAAGTCTGAAATTTATTTAAGTACAATTTGTTTTTATGGTATTCCTTACCCATAGGGTCAATAAAAGTAAACGTCTTTTTATTGAAATCAATGAAAATTATACAAAAATGATCATTATTCTCAATTACCGGCATGGCTATCCTATCCGAGTTAATCCGTATTTTTTTTAAAAAGTGTTCCGTATGTTCTTGGTTTGTAAATATATTTGTGGACAAAATTTCTTCTATAATTTGGAAGTGATTATTATTATTTAATAAATGCATAGCGATCGAGACGATTATGCCAGTTAACCATGAATCCCTAAAGTTTGTGGTGGTTACATTTAAAGTTGTGAAATCGGAAATTAAAATTTCTCTAATATGGAATTCTGGTATATCAAAAATTGCCACAGTGTAGTCTCTAGACTCAGTTTTGATGTAATAATTAGTATCATTGACGAGGCCATTTTCCAAAAGGGTGATCTCTTTTATGGTGGTCCACTTTCGATCTTCTAGGGCAATCTTTAGGGATTCTGGTCGAACAACATAGGGCAAGAAATAAAAGAAATAGAATGATTTTAAATTTGTGAACATATTTGCCCAAAACTTCGTGTTCCGAAATATTCGTTGGATTTTAATATCATGACCAGTAAAAATTACGAAGTCGCACCATGGTCTATTTGTCATCTCTAAGAGGCCCTGTATTTGGTAGTAATATTCGTGGTTTTTTTTTAAATTGCCGTTCTCTTCCAAGTAATCCAAATATTGCTCATCAATTTTAAGATTTCTTATTGAGTAGGGACACTTGACTTCAATTACACCATCGTTACCAACAAGCCCGTCAGGAGAACCACCTAGAAACGGAAATTTCTTATGTACATGGAGGCCTGCTTTTTCTACGATGTTTTTTGTAGACTCGGAATATTTATTAATTGCCGTCTGCTCGTTACGGGAACCATATCGAACAGACGGAATGTGATCGATTTTTTTCGGATTTACAATACTTTTGACCAAATTCAATTTGGTAGTTTCGCTTTTTGCTTTGCAAATTTTCCCAAAAATTGATGCAGTGATTCTCCGTCGTCGCTCTCTATGCCAAACTGCTGAATCTCTTTGAATCCTTGTGGTCTGTTCTAATTCACGCCAGTCTGTTTGGTTCAATTCCAGCGTTTTTAAATGAGCTTCATAGAGAGTTTTATCATTGTTTTCAGATGGATGTTTCTCCACATTCAAATTATTTGGCACACATAATTTGCAAATGAAGTCTCCTGAATACGTTTTATTTGGGGAAAAGTCGTCACAAGCCTGATGTACCCAGCCACTGCAGGCGTTGCATTGCACCCAAAAAGACGTTTCGTCCAAGAGGCCAGCACCGCAATACAAACACTGACGTGGTTCAAACGTGAAATCTGCTAGTTCGGTAATTTCTTCCCTTGTTTGAATCGGCTGTACGGGTTTGTTGGAATCAACATTGGGCATAAATCTTCCTATAAAATACGTATTTATTTTTCTACTTTTTCTATTCCATCTTTCTTGACTTTGATGTTCGTCATTTTTGTCCAACTGTTGTTTTTGTCTAGTTAGATTAGATTTTGGAATACTCAGTGCAGCTTCTTTATGTAATGCCAGGACATTTGCACGGCTTTTTCGAATAAATCTTGAAGATTTTAAATTCTGTTTTCCTTCCAATATATTTCCTTTTACATAACCGAAATAATTCTCTGCCATTGCATTACTGAATCTACATGTGCGAAACGATTTTTTGATCATTAATGATGTCCAAAGGGCACAATATGGCATATATTTTTTTTGCAGTAAATCCAAAAATTTTGGCTCATAATATCGATTAGCAGCATCCCCTCCATCAGAAAAAGAAATATGTAATAAATCAGAAATATTTTTAAAATGCGCATAGAAAGGGCTCAATTGATATAAAGATTGATTTTGGTTGTCAAATTCCTCGTCACATTTTGGGGTCTCTGTCAAATTGAACTCATCATCTATGTTTGTGCTGAAAGGAAAATTGAATTTGCTCAATGATGTTGTTACCTGATCAGTGTGATACGGGGAGGATAAAATAGTGGATATATGCAGATACCATTCATTAATCATCTGAAGATTATCCATTTGTAAAACTTGCGCTAATCTATATTTAAAAAAAACTAATATATCTGTATCAGAAAAGTACTTCTGAACGTCATTGGAAAACATTTTGAGGAAATGTGCGCAACAAAGATGTATTGTTATTAAATTATCAGGAATATCTTTTTTATTTATAGATATGTTAAAACTTTTTGTCAAGTACTCTACCAGGGTTAACATATTACATGAACGGACTATGGCGTGAATGTTAGAAAAACTGAAATCAGTGACTACTGCGTCAAACAGTGGCCATCGAGAATATTTTTCGCAAAAAAAACGGAAATTAATAAAAATTTTGTAAATTGATTTCACATAGTGTTCGCTTGTAATCATTTCGAATATGGGTGCAACGCGCTGTGTTTGATAAAGAAGTATAACACCAGAATAAAGGAATACCCTTTTCGATAAATCATTTGGTTTTCTTACTACGGTACCAGTTGCATCAAAATGTAGCACCACAAAGTTTACTGCTTTTTTTTGCCAACATAATAATTCTAATTGTTCCTTGCTGTAGATTTGCACACAGAATGGCACCGACACCTCTTTTATGTATTCTGGGTGATCTTTCTGCATTTTGAACATATCAAACAAGTCCTCCTTGTCGCGATCGAAATGTGCCATTGCTTCGGACTTTATTTTTCTAAATGTCGTGTCTGATTTTATTTCCTGCAAATTGCCTTTTATTATTAAAGATTTTTCCGATTTTAGTATGCACTCTTTTTTTACATTCAACGGCATTTTATTGAGCATGTTGTTTTTCGTAATTTTTCTTTCTAAACCTTTAACGTGAGATGTTAATTTTGATTTGTGACAGTAATTTATAGATGAACTGTGAATAACCACAGACAATGTTTCCAAATCAACATCAATTTTAAATTTTTTGCAACCATAATTATTATGTTTGCATACGGCATATATTTTAATTTTCTTGTTCGATGCATATTTAACCCCTTTAAATATAAAAAGGCAAATATTATTAACAAATTGTCCTATCTGATGCTTAAAATAAAAAGGATAATAGTGTCGGTTGAGCTTGTTATTCTGAAATATTATTGTCCAAATTGAATTGGAAATTTCAAATGTGCCCTCAAAAAAAGTACAATCCTTAAATTGAGATATTGGCAGAAAAGAACTATTGTGCGCATTTTTTTGCAGTGGTTTAGAATAATCATTGTTTTTTGGCAAATTGGAAAAAATTTTGGGAAATTCTACATTTTCTGGAGTAATATTCTTTGTTGAACTATTTTCGTCTTCAGCAGTAATAGGCAGTGATGTGGGATAATCTACATTTTCTACAGACCTATTTATAATTGAGTTAGAGTTCTTTGTAACAAGTGGAGTTGAACATTGCAATTCATTGGATTCTTTGAATTTTGTAAAAGATAATGGTCGGTTTTCGTTAATGGTTTTTTCTGAAGCAGTAGCTGTGGAAATATTGATATGAAGTGGAGTTTCACATCGCAATTCTGCAGTAGATTCATTAAAATCTATAAAAGATGAATTATTAGAAAAAGACGCTGTTTTATTACAATAATTGGGATTAATGTTTTCGTTTTCTTGAAAGCAGTCGGTTGGAGTAGCTTTTTGATCTCCAAGACAATCAATTGACAAGCAATTGGAATATGCAGGTGAATTTTGATCGATTTTTTCAACAGCAGGCTTAAGGCAATTAAAGTCTTTGGAATTAAACACTTCGTGAAAAGAAGAGTTAGGGGCAACTATAGATTGTGTTTGATTGCGCTCAATTGGTGTAGAAATATTCATTTTAAAGTCTTTTTCAGATGATTTGGCTTTAAAATACTTTTTTGCTAGATAATTTATTTTAAGACGATTGTTCAAAGTATTTTTTAGTTTTAATAACTTACAAAGTTGGGAATAGAATACATTCTGTTTGTTTCTGGCATTGAAAAAGTCTTTTATTGATAACTTAAACTCGTTAATAAAAGTCTGGACAATTTTTTCTCTCTCTATCTTACTATTAATGTTTGCAATTCCATTTCTAAATTCCGGCATTTTGAGTTTACTATTATAATGGCTATCAAAGATGCAAAAAAAGTTTTGAAAAAATGTTTTCTGATATAGGCACATACGTTCATTCCATCTTCATGATATGTATATACAAAATATGGATATTGTTAAAAGCTATTGCACTGATTCCTACCTACTTATATACATTATACCATTTTTCTTCTTTGAATAAGCCCATGCAAATTAGTCTCCTGGTAGAAAAGATCCACACATATTGATAGTTCCATATTTCATTCTTGGGATGGAAATTGCAGATTTTTGTAGCTTTCCGAGTTTGGTTAAATATGATGGATTTCCAAAAAGGAAAAGACGATTGCTGTAAAATACAATATAATAAGCACAGCTTATAAGTACCTGTATTGAACAGATAAAGCCCAATATCCAAGGAATTCAGGTTTAGGTATACAGAATGGACCAATTTAAACACTTTTAATAAACGTCAATTTCAAGAAATTTAAAAAAAATTAACCCCCCATTCCGAGGCTCGAATTTCATGAAATTTTCATTGTTGTTCCGCACCTAAAGGAGGGTTTTTCGGTTTTGCGCAATAGGTAGGTACTGTTAATGCTTCATACCTTTTGTGTTAATGAAAAAATTGATTTCTGTAAACACTTTCTAAAAGTACTTTTTAGGGCAGAATCCAGAGACGTACTATTTTATTTATTTTTTCTATTATATCCCGATCTCGAGAAATTGACCAAAGTCCAATTTTTTTAAATAAAACATCAAAAACAGATATAATTATTTTTTCTCGAAAATGTTAGAGATAAACATAGAGTCTTCAAAAAAAAAAACAATCAAAGATTGCTTTGATTACGAAAACGAACGTCGCATTATATTGCTTCTTCATTGGTCAGGATATATGTCATATGACATGACATTTTGACATCAAAGCTCATTGACAAAATTAAAGAAAAATATTGTCAAGACATACGTTTCATAGTTATTTACTAAGTGCGAAAAGTTATACTTTTTCGTACGCCGTAAGTGCGGACAAGATACTTTACACTCGTGTTCGGTACAACATTTTTCCTACGAGCCTGCGGAAATTAACATATATTCTTTTTTTCTACAACTGTCAGAAAATGATGATGTTCGCACATTCATGACAGTTTGCGAAGTGGCACTTTTTTTTCCAGGTATTGATTTTTTAACGTTCCCATGACGCCGTGCGCGAACTAGCTATTTCGCGCACTTGTGCGCGAAATAGCTAGTTCGCACACCAGGTGTCATAGTGACACATACCTGTCAGGAAATCAAAAATAATTAAAATTCACCTACCTTTGATTGAAAATGCTATTTTGGCTTCGAATGATTGATATTTAAATGGAGTTGTAGAAAAAATATTGTTTGCAACTCGGGCGCGAAATACTTTGGTGATCTCGACTATTTTTTGACTCGGCTGCGCCTCCTTAAAAAAATCAGATCTCGATCACCAAAGTAGCATTTCGCGCCCTTGATACAAAAATAACTATTCTCGGGTACAGCGTGCGTGAAAAGCTTTTTTCGCGCACGCCGTGCGGTAATTTTTTTTTTACGCACGCAGTGCGGAAAAGTGGTACTTTCCATGCTAATCAGTGCGTGAGAACTCGTTTTCCGCACGCTCGAAAAAAAAAAAAAACATAGCAATCTTTTATTGTTTTTTTTTTGAAGACTTGTTAACAAACACTCGCAAACCAAGCTATTAAATGATTTGTGAGTTAAGGTTGTCCTATACGGACTCGGTCGATAGGGAATTTTCATATTTCTTAATTTTTTTTTTTTTTAGATAGGTACTTCTAGCGATCATATATTACATAGTTTTCTTTTTTTCCATTTCAATCTATACGTTATATCACTTGCATTTTCCCTATTGACAGGTTTGTTTACAGAATCGTGACGTCAAAAAACGTAGCCATCATGGAAGCATTGTTTTGGCGGAAAATCTTTCATTTCAAATTTAGCATTTTTTTGTGTAACAAGAGCAGCATCAATTAAATAAAAACTGGTCCTATAAATATTGTGCAGTGTAAACTATCGATTTAACACAAACTTGGAAAATTTTAGTTCACTTGAAGATTCCCTATTTCTCGATAGCAGGGAAAAATATTTAAAAAAAAAACTGAGAAAGACACTGGATTCTACTTCAAAAACTGCTTTTAGAAAGTACCTATTTACAAAAATCAAATATTTTCTTTTCATAAGGAAAAAGTTATGAAGCTTTTGACAGTATTGTATTCCTCAAAATCGAGAAACGCCAGTGAGACAGGAGGTGGGCAAAAAGAGAGAATTGGGAATGTAGATTAGAGAAAATATGATCTATTGTTCGTCGATTTTAATCTGATACTCAGACGGAATGTGAGCTGGTGGCTCCCTACATTAGAACGTCAATGGTTACCTGACGTCACACCTGTTTTTCCCATATGAAACACCCCCTCGCTCCTCATACCGCAAGTATCAGTTAAAAATCGACGAACAATATGTACAGGGTGTTTCAAATTCGAGCCACTTCATCAGGATCTCGGAAACGGTGAGAGATACAGGACACAGGGTTGGGTAAATTGAGTCTAAGTTACGTAATTTGATGCTTTCGACGAAATGCCGGTTTGATATTCAGGATATTTCGAATACTTCCGGAGATATCTAGAAAAAACGAAAAAATCGTTTTTATTTTTTTCCTGACTTTATTTAAAGCGATTAATATAAATAAAAGAAAATACCACATCATCGTAGCCACTTTTTCCCCTACAAGATGGGTCAAATTTTTAATCCGACGTTTCGTTTCATGGCAATCATCATAAACTTAATTTTTTTAAATAAGGACATGGATTTTATTTTTACAATTTGTTTGGCATTTTTGCGGTTTGGTTCATTAAATTTGGAAAAGGACCCCGCACACCTCTTATGGGTTTTTGGTTTTCAGTCAAACTCAATGAAATTTTGATATGTGATAGACCTTAACTTCCTGATAAAAAGTTCTCATAGGCCTGAACCAATCCTATGATTAGTTTTTGAGATACAGGTACTTTAATGTCCAAGAAATGTACACATTTTATATGTATTCACATCTACCTAATATTAGGTCTGTTTCTGCAAAAATCACAAACCCGTCAGAGCGAATTTGATTGGTCGAAAACAGTCAGAAACAGTCAGAAAACTAGTTTCAACCAATAAAATTCACTCTGACAGACCTATTAATAGGTGACAGGAAGATGTGAATGCATATAAAATGTGTACATTTCTTGGACATTAAACCGCCTGTATTTCGGTAACTATTCATAGTATCCGGTTGGGCCCATGAGAACTTTTTATCAGTACCTAAGTCAAGATATACCACATCTCAAAATTTCATTGAGTTTGACAGAACACCAAAAACCCATGAGGTGTTGTAATCATAATTGTATATGGCATTGAAACAAAAATGAGTACATTTGGGTTTTAGACCATTCTAAACAAGAATTTGCTTAGATATTTTCTGTAAAAATCCCAATAGTAGTACTTATTGAAATTTGAGCCTATAAATGTGGACACCCTGTACGCCAAATTTGAGTATATATGACAAAAAAAAAATTGAATCGGTTAAAAAATAAAAATTTTAGAAGGGTGGTCAGTCCTTGAGCGGGACACACTGTATATGAATAATATACGAACGGTACTTACCTACTGGTATTTGAATTTTGAGCCACAGTCACAGTCCCACAATAATTTACCGGTGTATGGTGTATATAAAGTTGAATAATGATAGAGCGAGACATCAATCTTGGGACATGTATTAAATGCTCCAGTACATACCTATACACAAAAGAGTTTACTTACAAAGAATCCAGCAGAACAAATAAAGTTATTAAAAAAAAAAAATAATTCTGTCCTAACCAATGACCACCCTCTAAAAATAATATGTCAGGGCATAGGTATGAATAGAGGGCGGATGTTACTGTAAGCGGAATTTAGCTATGAAGTTTAATAAACAGTGAGATCAGAAAGTCCCGCATAAATTCGATATTTTGAAAACGGTAGAATTTCTGAAAAATCGCTCAAACACGTCAATATTGTTTTTTCTTGAAATTTTTCAATTTATTTTTTATTATACAGGGTGCCTCAAAAATAGCTTCGCTGGTATCAACTCTACTTTTTTAAATGGCACCCCATGTATATTATGACGTTTCTGGATTCTGTAGAAAATTCTAGTTCTATTTCATGTATACAATATACAATATCATATACCTATCTTCAACTGTTTCGGAAATAGGTATTGACAATTGAAAATTTAGTTTTTTGCAACTTTGATAGGCTATAAAACCTAAACGGTTAATTTAACAGCAAAACCGATTCCACATCATGCGACACCAACTTTGAATTAAACCGCCGGAAATCAAATTTAACCGAAGTTTTCAATCATGGATTAACTTCAAAGTTGTGTCAAATGATATTTTATGAAAAACTAATATTTGAATGTATGATCGGTTTTGCTGTAAAATCAACCGTTCAGGTTTGTTTGCGTCATTGGTTTGCGCCTACTATATTTTTTCGGGTAACTCTTGCTTTCTTACGAAGGGTCAACGACCTTCGTGTTATCGATCGAGATTTTCTGTTTCACGGAATGTGTGCGGGAGAAGACCCAAACAGTACTATTTTGCAGTTAAGACCAAATTATAGATCTCCTTTTATTTCTTTATGTATATTGTGAAAACTTGCACAAAGAAAACTATTTCTTTTAGTAAGAGTTTATATTTGTTTCAAGTTTTTGATATGTTTATTGAAAAGTTAATAAAAGATTCCTTTACTGGTCAAAATAGTTTGAAATTACTTAACATAAGAAAATTACAAACAAGGTTTTAAAGTCTGATGCAAAAATAGCTATTTATACAATAGGTTGCGAAATGGAGCGTCTTTTAGGCATAGGTACGACGTGAAAATTGTCCAACGAGGCAAAGCCGATGAGTTGGACAACACGTCGAGTGACTAAAAGACTTCGTTTCGTAACGTATTGTATACAAGATTTTTTC